TTGAGAGTTATCGGTCAGATTTCAGATGGGCCCTGAATTTCATGTAGAAAAAAGTCAGGAGCATCTTACCCAGAAGAGCCTGTTCACAGTATAGTTTGCCAGGCAGTAAGCTGCTGCAGCTATCAATGAAGGAAGATATTTCAAAAATGGGTCAGCTTCAAGTAGACTCAGCTCTGCTACGTACTAAGAACAAGAGAGAAAATCTCATTGGTATTAGGAACATGACTAAGGTTACAAGTAACCTTAGAAACGTCAGGGGAACAAATTGTGTCTTATTTTTGTTCAACTTGCAACTAGTGATGAGCATAGAAATAGATGGTTAAAATTGTTCACTGGTTAACAATTGCTCTGCCTGTCCACCAGCAGAATAACATTTATGTTATAATAAATTTCAATACACAAGAATTTGGCCTATGCACACAGAATACATCATGGGTAACTTTTCTGATCTTTTACCTGTAGTGTACAGGTTTATGCTAGTCAGGTAAAGTAGCATTGCTCTGTCCACTGGAGTGGGACTACAGCCTTCAGCCAAAGGCAAAAATATGACCATATTAAAGCTATTAATTTATCAGGTAAATGCATGTAGTTCAGAGGCTAGAACAGTGCCAGTGGGAATTAATCAGATTAGAATATATTGAGGAATTTATACAGACATCCTTATTACTGTTTGCATAGCACATATATACTATACTAAATCATAGTGGTTAGAAATCAAGTTTTCCAAATCAAGTGTTCTCATTCTGTACACCTAAGAGGTATTGCTTACATGCGGTCTGTATCCAATGAGGGAACAGTTTCCAAGCTTAAATTTAAGAGGTAGGTGATTAGACAATGCTTGCCTCACAAACACAATCAATAGTAATGCCTCATAACCAGGAGACGGGCTCTTAAAATTAGCTGTCTTCCATTTCTAAAGTTTTTCTGTGCCCAAGACAAAAAACTCAAAAGGAGGAAAGAACTGAAGGATGACTGGAAAGGCTACTTTTTACCCAACTTGACACCAGTATCCTGGGCAGTCACATGGCATACCTTGGCCAGGTTCTCAGTTCGGACGCANATCCCTCAAATATTAGAGGCTTGAAAGGGACAAACACAGCACTTCTACTACTAAAGTCGCAGCCAGAATTGCCCTCTGCCATTGTCTCCTTGGAAGGGGGTAATTTCATGGTGAATATACAGCATGTCTGTTACATTGCTGAGTGCAGGAGGTTAGAGAGACATAGCCAGTCATAAATTAGAATGTGAGATTATAAATTGCTAATTATATAACATAAATATAGAGAATTCGATATTGATACAGGCCCTGTATCCCCTTTGTGAAATCTAGGCAATAACACACAGAACACTTAGGGAAATGTTGATTTCTTCTATGGAACCAGAAATGGAGACACCTTGAGAATGTTTATCTGCAGGGAAAAAAGGGGAGGACAATGCTAAACCCTTTTAAGAGCTTGTGGGTACTTTTTAAAAAGTCTTGGCAAAATATGTACTATATGGCTGTATTTACTTATTATTTCATTAGAGCTTAAAACACACATAAAATTTGGAGTTAATTTCATCTACTTGCATGTTACCAAAACCTACCGGGGACTAATCTTTTCTATGTAAAGGGATCTAGAAACACTCGTTTCCTGTTGTTCTGGTCTCCACAGAGCCACCCGGGCTGAGCCCAGGGACAGGCCCGGAGACAGGACACACACAGTCATGTGCCTCCAGGGTGTACTGGCCCAAGGCTACTAATCCTGAGATTAAAAAAGTTTACAGTTCAATCCTCAACAAAAGCCACCTTTTCCCTTAAGGCGAAGTCTACTCTTGATTTTCCTTCCAATCTTTAAAAGGTTAAAATAAGTATTTGTTTGTTTTTCCAATTTTCCCCAGTGTTGTATACTACTAAGTGCTGTTGGAAGGGGCCATATATGAATGTGTAGTAAGGTAAACTGCAGGTTCATAAATAATATGAGTTAGAGCAGAGTTTAGCATGGGAATCTCCCAAGGGATAAACATGTGGGTTACTTAATTATTCTGAAGACCCATCCTATGGTGAAATTTGCTTTTTCTACCCTCTGAGCATTTTCTAAGGCTGAAANGTTAGGTTTAAAAAGTCAGTCATTTTAAAGGCGATATCTCGCTATGACAGAGTAGTAAAAATGGGTAATTCAAAATTGACAAATGCTGATCCAGTCATTCATGATGAGACTGAAGCTCAGGACACTGAGACACCGCTGGCCAAGTCTGGTCCACACTGAATTCCCCTCTCCTCTCAGAGCTAACAGCTAAATTATATTTCCCAACCTCTTGCAGTAAAAATGGGAGTACTTTCTCCACGTTCTTTCTCTGTTGTTACCTGCTGGAAACAAGAATTCAGTGGGGGACTCCTAGCGAAAGATCCTAATGCACACCAAAGAGTGACATGAGAGGTAAATCTTTAACGTGGTGAGCCACAGAGGTTTGGGGGTGGTTGAGGCAATCAGCTTACTTGAATACAATCCATCTCACTCCTTAATAACCAAACTGGAATTAGGACCCTGGTCTCCTAAGGGTCTCTGTGAAGGACAGACAGTTCCTGGGAGAAAGGAGAGAGGCAATGCTGGCCTTCCCTGGTATTTGCTTGTCAGTTTCAATTCCCATAAAGGATGTGCGCTGAGTCACCAAAAATGCAGAAAGCACATATAGGATGACACGTTTCAAACAGTATTCTGATGATTGAGATACTCAACTCCACAAGTTGATATCTGGATAAAATTCTCTTCACTGCAGACTAAACCAAGGAGAGAAAATCCTCTTCAGTCGGGCTGAGCTTAGATGAGCCTTCCCCGCAGCACCTGATGCAACCCTTCACCTGACCTCCCATCTACAGTTCAGTTTGAGGCTGGGGCAGCACAGCACCCTGGGGCTGCTTTCTTTCATTTTTGAGCCTGTAAATCCAACATCAGCAACTGGTAGAAACAAGAGGGTAGTAAGATAAGCACAGCTCCTGCAGCTGGTGGCTGCAGAATCCAGGCATCCACTGTAGAATTGGAATGTTATACAAACGTCCTGCCTCCATGAGCTGTCTGGGCTTGAGAGAGTCAGGCTCAGCTGTCTACTTAGTTATGTGTACTGAGCAACTGTCCAATTAAAAGGAATTGCATTTGACACGGGGCAGGGTCTATATGTAACAACTGCACCCAACGGCAGACTCCTGCTGGGATGTGGCTCTTTGTCCCTTTGCTTACCAACGAGGGAGGTTAGTTTTGTCTTTTAATGTGACAGCCTTTACACTGAGTATAAAGATGGGGTGTCAGCAATAGATATGAGCCTCTGCTCCTCCTACAAGTAACTCTTGATGATGCAGGAAAAGAGCAGCCAATGTGAAGGTCAAACATGGGGGCAGCAGAACATTTAGGTTAGAAAGTTAATATGATTATGAATAAATGGGGATATTGATGTTTTTTCAGTGTGTGGCTAAAACTNTTTAGGAGGCACGGATTTGCTGCCCTGGTTATTTCTATTCCTAATTCCTAACTCTCAAATTCAGCAGAGAATCTACACAGAGATGTTAACTGTTGCAGCCCATGATATGTGTCCATCTAACCATTTCCTTTTCCTGGGCAAAAAGGTAAGCTCTTTTCCCAGCCCCAATGTAAGCAGAAATATGTGCATGCCCAGCCTGAGAAATTTAAGTTCCAGTGTGCTCTCTCCATGTTCTCTTGTCCATTTGTGTATCTGAAAACAAAGGTTTCTAAGATGGCAGGCCCTGAATCCTGATTTTAAAAAAGTACCCAGGCAAGTCAACAAACTTGTTTTAAGCCCCTGGAATTTGTACCTTATTTGTTATTTCAGCATAGCTTATCCTAAACTAACATAACAATCCATACACTGCAGGACAGATGTGAATTCTGCAAAGCTCCTTTCAGAAACCTAAAAGCTTATCTCTATGCTGTTATGGTGAGAAGGCCTCTCTCCATCTCCCTGAATTTAAGGAAGAAGGGAGTCTCCTCCATGCTGAATGAGCCTTAGAAGATTATCTCGTACAACCAAAAGTCCCTTTCTTTGTACCTGTTTCCTGCCTACCCCACCCCACGCCCAAATTGCTGTCCTCACCACTCTTGCTCCCTTGGCTGAGCTCATTCTGGTTGCTTTGGTCTTCGCTACTTAGCTGCTGCATAAGCACAAATAATGTTGCCTCCGTCACTCTGTTTCTGGTGGGCCTTGATGAATGTGTCCCCCTGCCATCCTGCCACAAAGCCAAAGCTTTGGGGTTTTATGTCATCATGAGGTAATTTTCTTCTCGGGGTGGGGGGGGTGGGGGGGGAATCAAAGAGTGAATCTTTCAGTTAAAAGGGCTTTTATTTATGCATTTCAAAAGCAAGAGTGATTTATGACACATCAGAGCACGAG